GCACTAAGGCACCTACCGCCCCTGTCCTATTGTTTCTTTTATATTTTTCTTTGTCCCTTTTTCTTTCTTTCCTAAGAGGTCTGTGGGGGTGGGGGTGTATTTTTTTATTTTTTTATAATTTGTGGATACATATAAGAAAAATAAAAATTAAAGAAACAATAGGACAGGGACGGTAGGCACATTGGTGCGCTTTTGCATGCCCCCTACAGACCTCTTAGGAAACGGGTGAAGTCAATAGCAGACTGTCTAAGGTTAAAGTTTTTCAGGTTTGCATAAGCGCACCAACGTACCTACCGTCCCTGTTCTATTGTTTCTTTTATTTTTCTTATATGTATCCATATATTCAAAATGTTTTCACTTATACCTATTATATTGTAAGCAATTGACAAACCAAATAAAATAAAAAATAAAAAGAATTAGCAGAACTGGAATTGTGCAATAACAGTCACTCAAATATGAGTTGTCTATAAGTTGACTAATAATTTATCAATATAAACTTTGTTCAGAATTGTTTTCAGGTTATTTTACTTGAGCCTCTGCGTACTTTCACACTGAAAGAAAGTATACTTCCAAAAGGCAAGCATTTTATATACTGAGTCCAGATTCTAATACAAGCATTATTCATTATCTTCCATAGGACACATACAATTTCAATTAATTGTATAGTTGGAGAAATTACAGTATGAATCAGATATCATAGAGGTGCAGTTTGAGTTCAATTGGCTTCTGCATCACATCTTTATTAACTTCCAAATGTTAACATCTGCAAGTTGTTTTTAATCTTTACCTAGCAAGCAAGATCACAACTCATATGTCAATTTTCAACTGTGTTACTACAGAAACTTCTGGGTGTACAGAATTTCTGTACAGAATGCAGAAACAACACATTCAGCACATTGGTGTGGTGAATGAAATGGAAGATGAAAACATCTCAAAATCTCTTCCATATTTATCAGCCATCCAAACTGACAGTATTATTTAAGAGCTATTTTATAAGGATGAGAAGGATATTGATTGAAATAATGGCAAACACTACTTAATATGTTAGTGCTCATCTTGTAATACACGAAAATTCTGCATCTAATTCCTCCTGGTATTATGCAACATTTTATTTTATTTCTTATTTTAATCAAAAGATATTTGCCATGGGAGTCTATTTCTGTGTTTTCTCATAAATCAGTTGATTTCAGTGAATCTCCCTAGTTTAGACTTTTATTTGAACAGGAGATTATATAAAGATCCGAGATAGCAGTTTTAGATAGAAATAGACAAAGTGGAATAGATTGAAAGGAAGACAAGGGACAAAATTTACAGGCTAAAAGTACCTTATAAGAAATTGAAAATTTAGTATAGAACAACTGATATAGGAAAGATCGTAAAGTCACAGAGATTCATGTTGAAACTAAAGCTGAGATGTAGTAGCCTTAAATTATAGAACAACAATTTTTATCTGCATATCTGCAGAAACATATTGAAGGTAAAGGTAATATCAGACTTTTGGGGAGCTACAATAGGTCATTCTACAATGATACCTTTATCAAAAATATAATTTTATTCAAAACTTAAAAAAGACTAAAATTAATACAAATTAATTGTATTAATCTTATGTATAAAATGGAATAAGAAGTAAAAAAGAAATAAAAGAGAAGGCTAAAGTACAAAAAGAATGAAAAAAGGGATGGGGAAAGAAAACAAGTAAAAGAAAAGTAGAAATGAAAGAAACAAGATATAAAGAAGCGGCTTCTGAACTGCTTTACAGAACTTATAAGTACAATTATAAATTTACCCCTTTGCCTGAAGTTACATTATGAATTTCTTCTTACTAATGTATCCTAAGTGTCAAAAACCTTAGCTCGCAAGTTCATTTTTTTCATGTTTATCCTACAATAATTACTAAATCTTTGATATGATATAAACTATTATTTGCTTCATCAGAACAATGACTGACTGGATTGGAATACGAATACTCGTTATTATGTACTTATTTAAATAATTTGAATTAACATTGTTTTAAAAGAATTATGATTTTAAAACCTTGTTTTGTAAGATAATCCTTCTCAGTACTTCATAGATATAATCAGATATATCAGAGTACTATCAACACAGTATGGTTGTAATTATGAGAAGTTCCCAGTTGGAACTGAATTAAACAATTAGGTTTTATTGCATAATTCATGTAGGAATAGATATATAACAGAGGCTTCATATGACATTATTTATAGTTTGCACTGGACAATGTTGCTAAATTTTAGCATTTATAATTTTTTTCCTTTATACAAAAAATAAATAAATCCTAATAATGCTACTGTCACGAGGGCTTTTTCCAACCCAGTCATTGAAAGAGTTTTAATTTCCAACAAAATCTAATGGGCAAATGAATGCCACATATGAGGTTATGCAGGAAGAAGTTCAGATGAGGTGGTCTGCATTCTCCCTTCACTTCATCTGGCACTTGCGAGAGCTTTTTGGCAGTTACTGGTATGTATCAAAGCATCTTTTGGCTATTGTCAAAGTGTCTATAAAGGCCATTGCGGCGAGTGGGTGGCTTCAAAAAATAACTTCAAGTCTATGTTTTGCCTGGTCTTTTATCAAAGTGGAACATCAGCTTCAAAAATTTAAGCTTAATTCACACAGAGTTTTCTGGCTGAAGGCCCTCAATAGTCTAGGACAAAAATAGGTATAAAAATAAAATAGATGTCTCTATTGACTTGTACCACTGGAATATTCTTTTTGTTCCTGTCTTTCAAATAAAACCAGTAGAGAGAAGCAGCCCTTTTTCACACTATCTCATTGATAGGCTTTTGGAACATATTATTATCCCAGAATACATTGGAATACAGAAGATAAAGATGCAAAAGAAATCCATCAAGGATGCCTTTTCATGAAAAGTTTTTTCACATCTGTCTTAGCAGATCCTATCACTATAGAAATGGACACTCATGGAATACAGCGCTGCCAATTTGAAACAGAACAAAACCTATAAAGTATGTTTATTTGAAGAAGTTATACACCAAAAAAATCCACGTGTCAATAAGATGATATTTTATGCACCATGTTTCTCCAACAATATGCCCCCCCCCCAAATAGGAAGACCCAGCATGTTTTCTAGGCATAAAATGAAATTAAGCCCCTTCGCCCAAATTTAGACCTAGTTTAAAACATGTGAAATTGGGGGAGGAAGGGCAACTTGCCATTAGGAGTGCCCCACGGGCAGCTACGCCTCACCATCAGCCGCTCCTAACACCATGGTGGGGCACGGAGGGCTCCCTTACCCCTCCCTTACCTGGGTCAGCAGGCAGGCAGCGTTGGCGTGGATGTCCGGCAGCGTTTCAGTCGCTTCTCAGGCCTCTGTAGCTTCCACGGTTCCCACCGGTGCTGGCGCCTCTTTCGCCAGCGCCATCTCCAACAACAGCGTTTGAGTTGCTCCCACTTTCCCCCCATACCCGTAACAACAGAAAACATTTTGAGGTACCTGGGAGCGCCGTGCGCTGCATTTTGGTTTAATCCTGAGCAGCTCGGTGGGCGTGAGAAGAGCCAAGCAAGCGTCTCTGCTGCTGCTACCCTTGGTGCTCCAGTCTCGGGCTCTGCAAGTTTGCAAAAGTCCCGCTGCGTGGCCTGTTCCTGCATTCCAAGCGCCCAGGCCGAGCTGCAGCTGTCCCTCTCTTGCCAGTGCTGTCTCCAATAACAGTGGCAGCAGCGGCGGAAGTTGCGGTAACTGTGGAAGTTACTGAGGCGGCTCCCCCATCTGAGAAGCGGCTAAAACACTCCCACGGTTCCCGTGGAAGATAAACTCTTTCATTTCTGCATTTACTATTGCGCCCCTCAGTATTGATCTTAAAACTAAAAAAACTTTGGTGCTTATTTCTCCCCGAAGTCAATATCTGAAATTTTATTAGAAGTTTTAGGCCTTTAGTAGTTTTACAGTTTCTGGAATTAGCATTCATAGGAATCCCATATGATATATCCACCTAGAACAATTAATTACATCAATAATGGCAGTACACACTGATTTTCGTCAGACGTGGGAGTCAAATAACCTTGGCAAAATAAGAATTGAGGACAAGGATATACTAATTGCTCAAATGAGCCAGCAATTAGTGTTGGCTCTTTCCCCTCTCTTTCCTTTTTCATTAATTGAGGGTCAAAATATTTTTTATAGTCAGTAAAAAATTATAATGAACAGGGAAATACAGATGATGAAAAGAACTAAGCTGTATTAAGTTAATGTAGTTTTTTTAATGTTCAGAATTGGGCAACTTCAAGCTATATAAATCTTATTCTAGTAGCAATCCCATTGAATAGTGAGAATTTGGCAAAGAATGAGATAATAAGAGTAGGGTAAAGCTATATTCATTATTGATGTGTCAGCTCTTCAAAGTAGTCCAAATCAGGAAACTAAATCCAAGAACATTAGTACTAATTTCATTGTACAGTACAGTAACAGAATCCTCTAAGTCCAAAAGTGCTTGCCTCGTCTCCTGCCTTTACATATCAGAGAATTAGGGAGGATCAATTCTGAGATACTTTCTCCACCCTATTCCTGCTTTGGATTCAAATTTAATTTATGAGACCATCATCTCAGTCATCTATGAAGTAATGTGAATTTTTCAAGCACATTCTTCCCCAGGTTTGTGCTGCAATTGTACAGAGCTGCCCTGCAATCCTTGGAAAACATGTAACTGCTTCAAAGCACTGCAGAAAAAGACAAGGGAAATGCCTCCGTGCAAGCCAAAGCATTGTGTTTCCTTTGGAGCCCTACTAATAAAAAAAATACCTTCTCTTTCCAAAGACATATTTGAGTATTCAGGCAAAGAAAAAAACACAAAATGATTAGATTGTGTGTGTGAGAGAGAGAAAAGGGGGGGGGGATGTTTGTATAAAAAATAGACTGAATCTGAATGAACTCTTACATTTCCTTAAAATATGAAAAAAATCTACTTGCTTTGAAATATCAGATTGTTGTCAGATTATTCAAAGTGAACTCTAAGGAAGCCACTTACCCCCAGTTGCAACAGTAATTTCACGTAGGAAATGGCCATAAAATGGAAAATCGAAGGACAGATTCACTCTCTGCAAGGAACAACACCAGAAGATAAAATTAATAAAGGAAATTAGAGAAAAGAATCAGTCACTTCAGAACACGATCCAGCTCTCCACAGCTGCTTCCACCTTAAAGCTATTTTACATTAATCTTCCTCATTTGGGTTTTTTTTTTTAGTATTAAAACTGACTAAAACAATTTAGCAACATATAAAGCATCTTTTTTTAAATCCCATAATTCTCAAGCAGAATGGACATACTTTTTGGGATTATTGAAGTTCTCATCTAAGCTACTGGAAGCATACCAGATCTGGAAGCTTCATAAAAAGAAAGAAATTTAAAAGTGTTAAGTGAAAACTGAGTCTGTCACGTAGGTACATTTGATGTTATCCCTACAAAATAGATAGGCCAGGATTGAATTTGTAGTTCTCTATTTGCTTATATTTCCCTGAACTAATTTTATTTTAGTCAATTTATATTCTGTCTTTCTTCTAGAACTTTTATATATATATATATACTGTTCCCAAACTTTTTCAGGTCAGCGCCCTCTTGGTGCTACAAACTCATCCTCGGTGCCCCCCACAGGGGTGGGATTCAAATTTCTGTGGGTGTGGCCTAATTTGAGGGTGTGGCTTGGTCGTGTGACTGGGTGGGTGTGGCTTCCTGGTCACGTGACTGGCTGGCGTGGCTTGCTGGGCATGGCTTCCTGGTCACATAACTGGGTAGGTGTGGCTTGCGGGGCATGTGACTGGATGGGCATGGCCAGGTGACTAGCAAACAAGTGGTCCTCACTTAATGGCCGGTTGTTTAGCAGTGTTCTCATTTATGACTGGCCTCCCCTGAGCTACTTGACCTGTTTTTGGAGTTTTGACAGCCTTGCACACACATACACACACACTCCCTTCTAACCCTGCTGGAGTAGGTCATTGGACTAGAATCGGCAAAGCATCTCTGATTAGATTCTAGTAGTGAATAAAATCTAATCAGAGGTGCTTTGCCGATTCCTGATTTGTTTTATTTGTATCTCTTTATTTTATGTTGCTGAATTGCATTGACATGTATGTCCCTTCTTGTGTACAACCCAGAAGCTTTTGTGATTCTTTGCAGCAACCAACCTCTGGCTTTGCTCTACTTTTCAAACATGCCACCACTGCCACGTTCTAGGTGCTGGCCCCGCAGGTCCACCCCATTGAGCCCACTGCACTGGAGCGACCTGCCCAAGCAAGTCAAGTCAATGGGATGAGCCTGAGAGAGGGAAAGAGAGAGAAAAGGGAGAGACAGAGAGAGAGAAGGAAGAAAAGAAAGAGAAAAGGGAAGGAAAGAAAAAGGGGCAAAGAATGAGGGTGGGTGGAAGGAAGGGACAGAAAGAAAAAGAAATAAAGAAGGAGGGAGGGAGGGAGGGAGAAGAAAGATAATGAGATATCTATTCTTGTCCAATCACCTGCTCCAGCAGGGTTAGAAGGGAGAGTGTGCGTGTGTTCTTGTAATTTACCAGTACATTTTGGTTTTGCCTTCTTCAGAATTGGCACTGTAATACATTGGGGAAAAGTAATTTTTAGGGTGGAAATCTGGTCCAATGGATCTTGTTTAAAGCCTCAACAAAATGTGAGAGCTTCCTGATAGTCTTGACCATGTTTCGTCCACAAAACGTTTAATAGAAGCCAAAGATGTTGCAATGTGTTGGCAAAGATGTTTCAATGTGGAAAAGGGCCTCAGTCTAAACTAGGCCTCATTTCAATCTGATGCATCAGGTCTCTCTCTCTCTCTCTCTCTCCTCCTCCCCCCCTTTCCCTCTCCCTCCCTCCTGGACTGACTTTGCTCTACTTTCCCAATGTGCCTGTGGGGCTGGCACTTCGAACATGGATGGATGGATGGATAGAGAGAGAGAGACAGGTAGGTAGGTAGATAGATAGATTGGTAGACAGATAGGTAGATAGGCAGGCAGGCAGACTTTTTGGATGAATGTATGGATAGGTAGGTAGATAAGTAGGTAGGTAGATAGATCTATAGGTAGGTAGGTAGGTAGACAGAAAGACAGGTAGGCAGGCATGTAGGTAGGTAGGTAGGCAGGCATGCAGATAGACCCTTGTATGGATAGATGGATAGATAGATCTATATTGGTAGGTAGGTAGGAAGACAGAAAGACAGGCAGGCAGGCAGGTAGGTAGGCAGTAAGGCCGGCAGACAGACAGGCAGACCTTTTGGATATATGTATGTTTATATGTATGTATGTATGTATGTATGTATGTATGGACGGACAGACAGACAGACAGAAAGAATGCTACAGTGGCGGCACTTTGGGAAAGTAGAGCAAAGCCAGAGTGGGAATTGAAGTCCACACAAGTTGCCAAGGTTGAGAAACACGGGCTAAATATATCAACCCAGCCATTCTGGTTTAGAGTTTAGCATGCTGTTTGATTACAGCTTAGCCATGGCTAAGATCTTCCTGCTCCTTAATGCAGCTTCCCCTCTGCCTCTTCTCCAACCCCCTGCCCCAGTTCTTTCTTTGGCATCCAATTTTGCAATGCCAACCTCCCCAGGGCAGCGATGCGGCCGATTTCACCCCCTTTGCTTCAACCCAAGGTCCACTTCCATCAGGCCAAGCAAGGGGAGGTGCTCTGCACATGCTCAGAGATCCCCAACTTCAGGGAAGCGTTCAGCCCATCTTTATGCTCCACCCAGGAGGAGGAAGGCATGCGGAAATAGCCCAGACTGGTGGAGGTGGAGGGAACGATCACTTGGAAACTAAGCAAGCAAACAAGCAAGTGGCTGGTTGGAGAGGCAGAGGACAGGTGGGCGCTGTGCACTCCCTTGTTCTCCTCCAGGGAAGGGGCCCTAACGCCGGACCACTCATCCTTCCACTGCGTGCCTTGGGAGGGTTTTGCTTTCGGGCCTTCTGGCATGCCTCTGCTGCCGCTTCCACTGGAGAGGATAGCCTACAAGCTAAGGGGACACCTCTCTCCCCCCACCAGGCTTGGCAAGGCTCACCGCATGTGGGTTCTGCATTTGAGGCGCTGGCTACAGAGCGATGAAACAGTCAATGGGCTGCTTAGCCGGCACTCAGTGAACCTGCGGGGCCGGCGCCTCAAACGCCCCCCTACTGCCTCTTAGTGCCCCCCTAAGGCATCCCACCAGCCTGAAGATGGTGAGTGGGACCTCGTTGAAACATTGCCAAGATGCTCTCAATCTTACATGGAAAAAGACCCGAACATGCCAAGACCAGCATACCTGTACCCGTAAAAATCTACGAAAACACACACACACACACATATGATCAAGATGTTTAAAGGTGGAAGGACTTAAAAATATCTACAATGGAAGAATGGATGGTGAAATTGATGGAACTGGCACAGATGATAGCTTTGATGAAAGAAAAGAATTTGGCAAATTTCATTTCTACTTGGAAACCATTATTGAACTTTTTGCAAAAAAACTGATAAAAATGAAAAACTGATTTGTGGATTTGATGATTAGAATTATATGGGATTATCAAAATAATGTAGACAAATGTTAACCTTAGTGTAAGAGTTTATCTACCAAAGAAAATGAGAAACATTCTTTTCCTATTTTTCTTACTTTTTTTCTGCACTTTTACCCCCTTCCAAGACTTTTTGTTTTTAATTATCTATTTGTTTTTTTATTGCTTAACTTTGTATCTTTTTGAAAACTAACAAAGCTATAAGAATTCTTATACACTAGCATAAACAGTCATAAGCAAATGATATTACATTCCCTTGGAGAGACATCGAAGAAGACGTTAAGGAAATTTCAACTCCTCTTCATTGCATAAGAAGCTGGGAACTATTGTTGAATTCTACAATTCTTTCTTTCCTGAAACTGTCTGAACTGGCAGAGCAGATTTATCCTAATTTGAGTTGAGGTAAATTGGGCAATAGTTTAAAATATATTTACTATAAATAGTGGTTTGTTATATTACAGTTTATTAACACACAAACCATGGATCAAAAAAAACCCATATCTGGTATCTTTAATTAAAAAAATTACAATAAATCATCCAATAAAGACCTTGGTCTATTGTTTGTTCTTCTCTCATATGACGGCTGCAAATATTTCCAACCAGTTGAAATTATTTAGGAGGATTCCATTCAATCTGCAAAAATAAGCTTAAATGATTGTGAACTGGATTCCATATAATCCAAGAAAGCAGACAAAAAAAATGTCATTGGTTCAACATGAAAAGAAAAATGTAAGCTAGTGATTTTTGTCTGTTTGATTAAACTGAGACCATATTTTCTAATTTCCAGAGTAGTGAAAATTATGTTTGCTCAGACATACACTTGCTGAATTCATGGCAGTTGATTCTAGGGACCAGTGCATTTAAGATTACACTCTAATTTACATTAAGTAATTCTTTGTAAAGTATTCTTGATATATTCATATTTACTTTCCAGTTCCTATTCAAAATTTAAAAGTTACCTTATTTTCAAGCTGATGGTTTAACAACAACAAAAAAAAAATCACTTCCTTATTTACTTTCCAATATTCTCCAAGTATATCCACAAATATTTTCTTATTATTTAATGAAAATAAAGACAAGAATATCCTGTCCATTTTCGTCTCAGCATTTTCTTCCTTATCCTTTACTACTCTTTTATTGCAAATTCCAGACTCTTCTTTTAGGGCTCACAATTTTGATGCTTCTTTGATCGTCACACTGTTTTATATAATCTACCTTTTCCGCAAAAGCTTTAGATTCTTTTCTCCCCTTTTACTTCAGTTTTTGCCTTAAAGGCAACTCCTTTGTACTGTTGAACACAGAATACAATGAGCCTCTTATTTGAAAATCCTTTTTCCTTAATGATAGTTGATGCTTTCTTTTCTAAATATGTTTGCACAAAATATGTTTCACTTCCTTTATGGCATTGGTTCCATGCAAAAATTCAGAGATTACATGAATAAGGCACCTTTCTTGTTACAATTTATAATTGATATAAATTTTAGGCCCAAGGCTCTGTTTAGCCTTGGATCAAACATAACCTAGAGCTTCAGTTATAATCAATTATGTTTTC